CGTGTTATTGATGGACTCCTATCTAGATCAGACCACAGCCAACAAGATTTGTCAACTGAGAGCATCGAAGACCACGTTAGAGTCAACATTGCAGATGAAGAATATGTACTTGGCGAAAACTGGAGGCAAGAAGGGATCCAGGAGATACGGGGAGGAGACAACTGGGGCAACAACACTACAGCGGATTCAGTTAAAAGAGCAATCGAAATCGACCAAGAAGACAAACCTGCAACGGTTTCAGCCAAATGTAGGCAACGAAGAAACGGAATTGTGTCGAGTACAATTGATGGACAACTTGGTCTACCCAACTTTGGTTTTGAAGATGAAAGGAGTGAAGAAATAGAGGAAGAATGCTCCAGCGATACTTCAGGTCAACGAAGACACAAAAAGTCAGTGACTTTTAGTTTGTCGGAATTGCCTGTCATGCCATTACCGAACGAGGATGGGGGAAACGATTTCAAATTGGATACGTCCGATAAGAAGATGGCGACCGTCACGGAAAGAAGTCAGGAGGAAGATAAAGTAAATGAGTTTGTTGAGGGTGGCTGTAATCCTTCAGCTTCAGAAGATAAGCAGGAAGCTGGTTCATCAACAATTCATCCAGCTAAGAAAAGACGTCCTAAAACAATCAAATACTGGTTGAAAGATCCAAACTTGTATAAGGTTTGTGCTTGTCTTCGTAAAATTGGTAACAAAGTAAATTTTCTTGTGAGAAACATAATAATAGTATGATGCAAAAATACAAATTACTTGAATAGTACAATATTATTTAGGTAGCTGGTAAAACCGCAGGCCTATCTAGACATTCACATAGCGCATACACAATTGAAGATTCAATTTCGATTTCACAATGTCGTTTGAATGACCGGTTATCTAATGGTATTCATTTTTTTTGTGCGCGCCGCGCCAGCGGAAAATAATGTAATTCCACAGTGCGAGACTACAAATTAGGTAAGTGACATATATTTCTGGAACATAAGCTTTGGTATCGTGTTTGTTGGCCTCAGTGCGGTCTCTTTAAGAGAAAGTCTTGTGTGATAATTACGAGCCTTGATTACAATAGCAATGTCGTTAAAAGCTTAGCTATGCCAAGTACAAATTGATTCTCACGATATTTGCCCTGCAGGAAACCAGTTTTTCAGGTTAGTTGTAGTCCTCCAAGTTCCTTTGAGCACGCACGAAATGCAAGGCACAGGTTATGGTTTGTTCCGTTCTCAGAATAAAAAACTGTTGGATAACTCTCTTGTTGAACATTTTAGTGTTGAGCATCACTGTAGACTTACTCATCGTTTGTATTTTGACTCGCTTCAGACTCATAAAGATTTTTATACCATGTCATGGAAGGTACCGCCAATCAGAATACAGGACAGCCGTTGTATATTCGACGGTATTACACCCAGCCTTGCCATCGTGCACCGTGCGTAAACGCGTGTTGGCCACTGTATCTCCTATGGCATCTTATAAAATAGTTATGCAACGCTCTCTCGTAGTATACCATGGAATATCCTACTTGTCACTCACTTGTATTTTCTTGGCATACACACTCGCCTAAAGGCTTCGGTATACCGAGAAAACACAAGTCACTCGTGGGATATTAATATTCCAGGGTATACCACTCGAAAGCTTTGCATAACAAGTATATATAGAGAGATACTAGAGACTAAAATATCTTAATATGGAATAACGATTTTTTTCTTGACTTCCCGATTCAACGGGCCATATCTCCCTCGTTTATATTCCTGTACGTTAAAATCAAGCATGTGATAGTTTTCATGTTGATGGAAAACATCGACTTGTCTCATTGAGCCCTTTGTCGTTTAGGAAGCCATCGCCTATTTTCCATTGGTTCTTATGATAAGCGCATCTTTTTCAACCATTTTTTGCGGAAAACTCAACGAGAGGATTGGAACCAAGGTAAGGGCAAGACGTAAATATATATTACAACTAATGCCTTCCTCTCACAAGCCAGGACGGTGTGTCTGAAACATCCAGCGTCCAGATGTTTCAGACACCGGCCGCTATCTAGACACCAGCTGTAGGTTTTGGACGTGGCTATAAGTGTATTGCTACGCCCGGTGGAATGGTAGTTCATCAGTTTCCGCTAGTCCATGGTGTTTTACCCAATCCATTCTCCACCAATTTAATGAGAGTGATGGAGAAGGGAAGAGGACAATATGAAATTTTCTTTTTCATTTGAACATCACAAGGCTCAAACTGCGTAGGCTGAGACCAGGTGATGTAATAACAGACTGTGTTAATTGTCATCGAAGATGTTACGACATTGTTAGTCTGTTCAAATGCCGGGCTGTGTCAGTTGCCAGTAACACCATCCACATAATCTTAACTGTAGAATAACACATGTTCCATAACAAATAATAAAATCATAACACATTTATGAATTAGAATCCTAATTTCCAACGTAAAGAGTTTTTCCTTTCAACTCTACATTGATTTGCTCTTGCAGTTGAGTTACCTACTGGCAGCTTGCGTTGTAATAGGCGGTGTCGTCTGGAGTTATTTTCAAACTCCTTCCACCAGGCAAGCGACCTATGCACCTGTCATCTTGATAGGATTTGGCATGTCAGTTATGTTCGTCATGGCAATGGCTTTGATCACTGAACTGATTGGAGATAATAAGGTTTGTGCTTTGTGGAAATAAGGTTAATATTAAAAATGTATGTTCCGTAGTATGCGGAATGTCACGTTTTCGTAAGAAAGTGCTTTGCTTTGTCACGTTCATCTCTGCTGCTTGTGTTTAGTTCAAGAGTTTGTATCATAGGGATTTTAATTATTCCTAGTTAAATATAGTTTGCATAGAGCATGTCACCTTGAGGAGGTTGTTTCCATTTCTCAATGGCTAGTCAATGACATCAGTGACTACGTAGTGAATCAATGAAGATTTTGAGATTTTGTGATCTGTCTATTTTATAGGATATCAGTGGTTTGGTGATTTCCATTATAGTTGTAATCAATAGAGTCTCCAGCGGTGGTATTGTGATCGGCATACAAAGCTTTTATCCGGAAAAAGGGTAGGTACATCTACCCACTGACCCATCCATCAATCCTTCCTTCCCTCCTTCCCCCCTCCTTTACACCAAAAATGTATTGCTAGAGGTTGGGGAAGAATTACAGGGGTTTGTTATAGGAAGGGATTTGTGTTTCATAATTTTTTGAGTTTCTACCTTAAAGAGATGTTGTGTTTCAAACATTTTAGGTGTATACAGTAAAATAATGCCACACAACTCTCTAACCATAGCATTATAAGGCACAAACCAAGGTTTAATGTCGTTCCTCGAACGGTTCTTAGTACAAAACGAGCTTTATGTATTCAATAGCAAGCTCTACAATCGGAATAAGTTCTATCTTTCCTTGAGTGATGAATCTGAAGTGATGAATTGAGGGGAGCAGGGATGGTGCATTGGTGAGAGCGCTTGTCTCCCACCTATGTGGCACGGGTTGGTTGCTGGTTCTCACCCTGCTCCGAGGGTTTTTCTCTCCGGCTTCTCCGGTTCNCCCCCTCCCGCTCACCTCCCCACGAAAGCCAACACTCCAAATTCCAACTCCACCAGTATGGAGGGGACCCATATGAAAATCAGCTAAGGCTAATGTAGCTTTCTCTGTACATTTTAATTTTAATTTTATTTGTATTTAATCTGATATAAGCCCATAGGCTTACATTCGGAGGGGTGTATTATCGGAAAGATTTTTGCGCCTGGGATTTAGTTTGTTATTTTTGTGTATCAAATGAGTAAAATAAAAATAAATCAAGGATCATGTAAAGGATAAAACTCAAACAACGCAACTTGGTAATTGATTGTTTACCAGGCTTTCTTGCTTGGTCACTTATCTATTTTTTTCCCTCTGTTCTGGTAGCTCGAACTCAAATGAAGCGATTAGTAATTACGTACAACAAGTCTTTATAATGGCACCTGGGATATTAAGTCTGGTTGGATCCTTGCTGGTTTTGTCCTTACAACCTTCAGTGTTGACCTGCAAAGCCAAAGGTGGGCGATATCTATATGTTGGTCCACAAAAGAAATAAATTTGTATTGAAATGTTTCCGACTGATCGGTATAGTGATAGCAATGTCAGCTACGTTTGTAGCGAACAAAAATAAATCCATATTCTAGTATGGGGGAGGCGTGTTAGCCTCATTTTACTGTGCTGTGCTCTCAGTCGAGTGGTCCGGGTTCGAAGCCAGGTCGGAGTCGCTGTATTAAGCTATTGGGCAAGAAAATTAACTTTCACGGTACCTCTCTTTACCCAGGTATATAAATGGGCACCGGTTGCTGGGAGTAACCCTGCGATGGACTACCATCCCATCTAGAAAGGAGTTTAGAAATACTCGTAGCTGCTACATGCTACGGAAACTAGAGATGAGCGCCTGACTGGTGGGCCACTAGACCCGAATACACATTTAACCTACCTTTACCTCACTATTCTGGTATAAATAATCAGATAGACTCCCAAGCAAAGTAGATTCTTTGTCCCAAGTTTAAGGTTGTATAGTTAAGGGTGAAAAGTTCCATCAGAAAGGATCGGAACTTCCTATTCATGGGCTTTTGGAAATGAGATAGCGCCTGAAAGCTTAGTGGAAAACAACAAAAATAGAAGATAGGAAAGAGTTTTCTCTGTATCCTCAGCTTAGCTTCCTTCTATTTGAAGTTAGTGTTGGAGATGATAGGGGTAGAAATTGATATTAAATTTATATCTACAGGCGTCAAATTCCGTCACCAAATTAACAAATATACACTCATTTAAAAACCCCCGAACTTTTATTTGATAACGCCCTCTATGCTTCTTGTTTGATTTTACAGCAGTAAAGGAGAACACGGAAATTCAGGCAGACGAAGATAAATCTCCATCCGATGAGATTACTCCGCAGTCTTCATCCAATCACACAGCAACACTAAACGTTTCCCAGGATGTCAGCCAAAATACTACCATGGTTTTGATGCATTCTTATCCTCAGGACACCAAAATGTGACACATTCATTGTGGATGAACAATTTCGGTGGCTGACGTATTTATCCGCGACTTTTAGGTCTCATTTGAAAAATTATTTGATATATAGCTGTTGTTAACGTAAATTTTATAATTTTTAAAGCAGCAAAGGGGGAGAACCTTCAACAAAATTACAACAATAGGCCGTGATCTCTGAACTTGAATTTAAGATAACTTCGCTTTCGACTTCGAATTCAAAATTGTTTTAAAGTTATTGAGGATTGATTTCTTATAACGATACTTGAGTAAACTCATTTTACTTTCCTATTACCCAGGTACAAAACGTTTTTCCAATTTTCTTTAACAACTTTCTGCTTGCTCACAGAATCAGATTATTAAATATATTTAGATCTTGGTCAGCTTGGATGTATGTTACACTGTAATGTAAGGAACCTGTTCAATTTTGGCTTAGTCCTCTGGTTAATCATTATTGCCATATCTTTTTATGAATGCATAAATCTCGTCTTATCTTATATCCATATCTTATAGTATGAATGGCAGTGTTGTGAAATAAAATACTGCCGACAATATCTGCTTCCTTGTGATTGGCTAAAAATTATAATTGACAACACTGCATGCACCGACATGGGTTCGTCACGCAATTCAGAACTTTTGTCCGATGAATAACCAATCCATTCATTAATCCATCCATCCATCGATCCATTCATCNAAGGTCCAAATTTTCAGATACCATATTTGTGATCCTGAAAAACTCTGAGGCTGTACACTTGGACTGGTTGTTTGAAGGATGGAAGGAAGGACAACGTGTAAATAGTGTCCCCAGTTAGTTTTTTGACACCATTGACACTTAAATACACTGTAAAGTCATTTGTTCATTCGTTCGTTCGTTTGTCCGTCTGTCCGTCTGTCCGTCCGTCCGTCCATCCGTTCAAGACATGAGGTGCTTGTCCACTATGGAGTTCCGAAGATCATCAATCACATTACATCTTCAGCTTATCATCAACATGGAAGGCTTAGGGATAATTTCTTGCTCTATCTTTTGCAGTTGGTGTGACTCAGTCTTTTCGGTCAAAGAAACAGCAGGCTGATGTACTATATTCAAAGGACGTTTATTTCAAATTCTCCTGAAGATGCTACATTTGCCTTCAAAATAAACATTGCTTGGAACATGTTGTTGATATCTACCGGCAATTCTTTGAGAACAAAAACTTCCATGAATTGTGCGTTTTAATGCGATTTGAGGTCTATTGTGCAAAATTGCACCATCCCCTAATATTTATCAGAAGGCCTGTACAGGGTAAATACATACAGATTTGTGGTACAGTGTTAAATCTTTCCTACAGGAAAAGTCAGTTCTTATAAATGACCTTCTGAAAGTACAGAGTAATTTATTATAGCAAAACTAACCTGCTCTGCAAGTGCTAACAGGACTTCATCTTCATCGTAAATGGTATCTTGATATAAAAAAAACAATCTGTTAATCAAGACTTTTCGATCTAGAATCAGTTCAACGATCTAAAGATTCTCAGTTGGATCTTTAGCCACGAGGTATTACAGTATTCCTGTGTAACAAATCTTTCCCATGGCACTGATACAACTTTGCGTGTTTGGATAAAAGGCAACAAGTTGAACTTTCAAATTGCACATGATCAGGCTGTGCACCTTGAAACTGCAACAAATTTGTGTGCCAGCTGGCATCAAGCAAATAGTGTCTTGGCTGTCTATATTTTTGAGTTGGGAGGTGTAACAAAACACTTCATGACTGGCCCCATGGGAAACAATGAGTTTTGTTTCCCATTGGCTCTAAATGTTCCCCTCGGCTTCGCCTTGGGGAATATTGAGGGTCTCGGGGAAACAAAACTCACTGTTTCCCTTAGGGCCAGACGTTAATTTCTTAAAGAGAGACCTGGACATGCCATGTTCTGGCACAGTGGCCTCTATGTCTACTTGTTGACATCTTTGGGGAAAAACAACACTATTCTTGGCATTTTATACACATAAACTGTTGACAGAGAAGGACTGGTGACTAATTCAAATAGTATATGCGGTCCAAAAAATGTGAAGCCATACAGGAGAAAAGTGCAGCCAGTGCATTTAATTTGATTAAAAAGTGGCTGTCCCCTGGACGCCTGGAAGCCCATCTGGCTAAAAGCCTGCCAGGGCTCTCAATGAGATTTGAAGTAGGTGACAATCTCGGTGCAGCACCAGTTAGGGAACAAGAGAGGCTTGCAACAGCTTCCTCTACAGGGTTAATTTTTGAAAACAGATTTTGTAATAGCATGTGATTCACAACTGAATAACAACCAGAGCTCCAGGTATCAGGTCTTATTGAAAGCACTGAATGCCACTATTCCCTTAAAGACAAATGACTTTGGACCATTCATGGCACACAAAGTATCTGGTAACTGTTATAAAATGTTCAGTCTCAAGAAATATCCATACTTTACCAACTGCATGGAAGATCAAATCCTTTTAATCAAAAATTTACTGCGAGAACACTTTGACTATGTACCCTTGACATTTATTTGTATATTTTTGGGGTGACTATAGAATATAGTATTAACAAAATAAACTAGCATTTGTACACTGGAAAAATGCTAATCATTTAAATTATATGAAGAGTCTTCATTTTATAGTCACCAAAAAATGTGTGAAAAGTCACAAGTTTCATAGTTTGAGTGTCCTTACTATGTAAACTAGTGCTTTACTGTTTAAATAATTAGATACTTTCAGAATTAGTGTAACCTTTCTTCACCTTTTTTATTCTTGCAATACAAAGCTTTACTTTAGTCAGTAGGAGCTGTCGAACAGCAGCTTCATCATAAAATTATCACCATAACAGAAACAGCCCCAAGCTAATCTCCAAGAATATCAAAGTTATTCACGTTTTCTTCGTTCAAAACATGTATGTTTTACAATCTAATTAAAGATAATTTTCCCTTATCAACATTTTGTTGCTATTTTCAGCCAAACGAAAAAAGTTCTTGTTTTGTGTAAATATGGATGTGGCACGTTTATCCAAAACATGAGCTTAACGCTTACATCTCCGAGCTCATGAACCTCAACCCATGAAAAACTTAACAAGATATCAGCTTGAGCCTAACTTTTCTAGATGTAAACATCGTTTTGAAACGCGTCCACACAAACTGAATAATTGAACACTAATCTACGTACACCAACACATGTTATACGTTTTAAAAAAGATGTGAATTTCCTGAAATTTTATGTCAAAACGCGATTATAAAATTCACAAAAGCTTGATCGTTCTATCATGTCTGAGTTCGTACAAATTTGAGTACGACAAAAAGCATAATTACTGATAACCTACCTGTTAGAAAAGGTATGAGTTCACTTCTTGTTCTTTCCACACCCAAAGCTAAGGCAATGGTCGAGAGTTTCTTGATAGAGTTCAGCCGTAGCTAAAAGTGTTAGGAAAAGTCAGATTACCACGAAGTTAGTTGACGAATGCTCGAAGCTCAAGACGCCACGAAAAAACCCGAAAATCCATTCATAAAGAAAGCAAAAGGAATATAAACCAATATATTTCGTTTTGTACCTGAACATCTTCGTTTCTAAGCTCATCTATCAGTACAGCAATCGGATAAAGTGAGTCATCTCCGTCACCAGACGCCATGTTGTCAGTCGGTAAAACCCTTATTTCGTTGCCGCTTGAGCCGCTGCAAATTACCCGTCAACCTCTTCGAGTTAAACTCGCTCCAGGGTGCTGATCGTGTATGTGGGTTGATCTGGACAGAGGGGGAAACTGTGAAAGGAAAAGCCTGCAGTTTCGTCTGAATCTAGCAGGGATAAATTTTCTATCCTTTTCAAAATGGCAGTAAAATAGGCTTACTAGTTCAATGGCAAAGAGTTGCCTCAATGGGTTGAGTAATGAATATTGTATAAGAGTATAATCAAATAAGTAAATTTAGGGACCTACTGAATTAGTCTTCACCATTTCACAGTTGCCTGGCCTGTGGGTGACCGGGGGTACTTCCTTATGTATAGAGGCTATATATTTAGGTATGTGCTGT